GTCGTTAAAAAAATATTAATTTCAGTAACTCGTGAGTTACTGCATATTTGATTTAGTGATTTTCTATACACCCTGTACAGTTCTCTTTCCAATATTCCACATTCGATGATGAAAGAGTGTAAGATCCATCAACCATAATCCACCCTACTGCGTACAGTCTATTTGCATACTGGAGTTTGTCTTAGCCTTGTCCGGATTATTTCCTCCTTCCTTACCAACGTCAAATTTGAGCGTATCAAATATCTCCAGAAAGAAAAAAAAGTGTATCAGAGCTAGGAAGAAACTAACAAAAAATACCCCCCCCCCCACTGGAATGAAAGGATTTACTTTGTACACACCACTTAAATTATGCTGTGTAACAGGTGATTTTCATCGTGAAAAGTTCACAGTTTGATTGCAAACATATTTGCTGCCAGTAATTTTGGCAAAAGAGGCCAATTTTCTAAATCACAGAGTTGCAAGTTAAACATGTGCAAATATCGACTTTGCAAAGTAATTTTAATCCTTAATTAAAATGCTAGGCTAATCTTAGATATTTTTGAATATTGTAATTCCGAGAAGAGAGACGGCATATTATTATTTCTTGACTTTGAAAAAGCTTTCGATTCTGTAGAATGGAACTTTCTTCTTGAAACATTAAAAAATTAATATTGGTGATCAATTTATTACATGGGTAGAGGTATTATACAAAAACCTTAAATTCAAAATGAAAAATAACGGATGGTTATCTAAAACATGTAGTATGACGAGAGGGATCCGACAAGGATGTCCAATATCAGCTTAACTATACTTATTTGTAGCTGAAATTTTATCCCTTAAAATCGAAAACGAATCAAATATATCAGGAATTAGTATAAATGATCAAGAAATCATTAATATACAACATGCAGATGACCTAACAGTTGCTCTGAATGACAAGAAATCTCTCGATTTTAGTTTGAAAATTATTAACGAGTTTTGCGATCACGCCGGATCAAAAATCGGAATGTATCCTGTTAGGGGGGCTTAAAGATACAGTGTATGTATGATGAAATCAACGGTATTAAAGCAACAAATAAAGCAATAAGATGTCTAGGTATTTATATAGGACACGATAAAGAAGAATGCTACAATAAAAACTGGATGAAAATCTACCACGACATTGAAAAGTTATTTGAATCTTGGAAACGTAGAAAATTATCGGTTTTTGGTAAATCGTGTATAATCAAAACATTAGCAATTTCAAAACTAGTTTATGTTGCATCTATATTGTGTATACCAAATAAAGAATATATCTGTAAGGTCCAAAGACTTTTATTTAATTTCTTATGGGACAAATCGGAAAGAATCAAACGAAATACACTGATCGGCGATTTAACTGACGGAGGTTTTTCAATTACAGATATTGAATGCAAGTTTAAGGCTCTGAAAGCAGCGTGGATATCGCGACTGATACCTTCTAAGGGCACTGTATTTGAAATCTTTGAAAGTTTTTTTTAAAAAAGCGAATTTAAATCTGAATTACGTCTTACAATTTTCTGAAACTAGTTTAAATGCACTTGACAGAATAGGCAGGCTTCCGCTTTTCCACAAACAAACTCTAATCTCATTTAACGAAAAAAAAATGTGTAACTTCGAAAATACATCACCTAATGATATCTTAAAACAACCCATATGGAATAAAAACAATATCAAAATAAAAGGAGAAACATTATTTTTCAACAACTGGGTCAACAGTAATATTCTCTATTTAAAAGATTTAATAGATGATAACGGGAACATAAAAACACTACAAATGCTTTCCACTGTTATTAAAAGAAAGTCGAACTGGCTTTGTGAATATAAAACTTTATTATCAGCAATTAAACCATTGTGTAAAAATGTGACTTATCCAATGCCAAATATTTAAACATAAAGAATGAAATGAGATTTCATTTCGCAACAGGGGTGTCAAATCTAAATGGTAAGAAATGCCAATTTTTTTTTATAAAATTTTACTACGTAGGAAATTCGTTAAACCGTGTTATCAAATTAAACTTTCTCAAGAGTTTTCAATTCCTGCAAACGACTCAAATCTATGGCAAAATATATACGTGAGAAAAATCAAAGATATAAATGACAACAAAGTCGCTGAATTTAATTATAATTAAAATGCTTCATAATATTCACTGCTACAATACCTATTTAAGTAAATGGATAAAGGACAAGGGGAACAACTGTCCTTTATGCAAAACAACTGAAACCACAAAACGTTTACTTTTTGAATGTAAAATAGTTGAACAGATTTGGAAAAGATAAGTAACCTTTTTATCTTTGGATATAAAATGGAAACACATTGTTCTGGGCTTTTATCTAGAAAAAACGATAAGATTGAATCTTTGAATTTATTAATATCTTTTATTGCATATAAAATATATAAATACAAAATGTATTGTAGAATTGAATCTTTGAAAGAAACGAAACTGAAACAGATTTGTTAAAAAATGTCAAAAATGCACTTATTCAATATTCTTCTGTATTACGTATTATGAATTGTGATAAACAACATATTTTTTCAAAATTTGCAGACACATTAAGAATATGATGTTTTTTTCTTTTTCAATTAATCAGCTACTTCGAGAGAACAGTCTCAAGTAGCATCGTCCACTGGGGAGTGTTTGGACTTTTTGTGGTTTTAGGACCCCGGTGGACCATAATTGCTAGTTCAACTCTGTTTCAGTATATATTTTGTATATTTATTATTTGCAACAATTTGTCTTTAAAAAAAATTATTCCATTATATGTATATGCACTATAAAAAAATTGTTATAATCGAAAAAACAGCGAATTTACTTTTTATTTTTGTAATAACTTGGCATGAATATGTAAACATTGATGTATTTAACAACATATAGATAATCATGTTTCTCTATCATTATTATTGTATTGTTTATGTATTGTTGTTATTTATAAAACAAAATCAAAAATCAAAAAAAAAAAAAAAACCTTAAGTCGTAAAGTGTGGATTAAATTTCTAAAGCTGGATTTTTGTAAATGGAAATTGCGTTTTTTCTAATACTTGACCGAAAAAATTTGAATTCTTATAGCTTTGGACTGTGCATATGCTACAAATAACCGATGATTGGTTATGAATACGACAAACATAAGACACATGTGGATATTTTTTCTTCAATGATTCTTTAATCTTAAAGTAAATCGTTTTATCCCTCTAGCAAGGATGGATAGGCGCACCGAAACCTAACATCCATTTATCAAAACTAGTGATTCTAGTTCCTTAAAATGCACAGAAGATACTGACCTCGTTTGCCTCTCCGCTTCGTATCCGCCCTTTTCTCGGTTGCAAAGAAAAATACGCTTTTGCAAATGAATTTAGGCTGGAGCACTTGATGCAAGTTTGGTCATTTTTTGGCTCATAGTTACTTTGAAAAGAAACCTGCACCAAAAACTTTAACCTGTTCACTCATCCGTAAGATGCAGGTCAAATTCGGTATCCGTATCAAGTCTATAGAAGTATGCTACCTAAGATGTATCATCCAAGCAAGGTTGGTCATTATTGGGCTCATAGTTACTTGGGAATGAAACCTGCATAAAAAACTTTAAAACTTAGATGTATCATGTTTGGTTAATAAAGTGCTCATAGTTACTTGAAAATGATGAAACCTGCATCAAAAAGATTAACCTGTTCATTCATCCAGAAAATGTAAATCAGATTCAGCATCTAAAGCAAGCCTATTAGTCCGCATCCTTAGATGATCATTTATGCAAGTTTGTTCATCATAGGGCTTATAGATATCTACACCAAAAACGGCACCAAAAATGATAACCTGCTCCGAAAACATTAACTTGGTCATTCCTTTGCTGAAATTGCAGCATCCGAAACCTTGACTGTCACAATGAAACACACTAGAAGCATTTTCCATGCATGTCTAATCAATAGAAGGCAAAGAAGTCCTTAAAAGAAAAGAAAACCGCTGCAAAATACGCCGACGCCGAGGGTATCACATAAGCTCCCCCAGCTTCGTTGAGGTGAGTTTAAAATAGTTTTGAAGTTGTAAGAAATTCATTTCACAGTAGACAGGATGCTTTAAGGTTTTCACAAGTACCAAGTAGTGTCTTTAATTCATTTCCTTGCTAACCTTTTGTCGCAAACGCCTTATACATATAGATTCTATCTCCATGCAAGAGAGTGGTCTTTAACATCACAGCAAAACGACTGTAAGAGACTTCATAGATGAGCGGCTGTGAAAGTGAAAATGTACTTATTGATTTTACGTTGGTACTTGTGAAAGTGAAAATGTACTTATTGATTTTACTTTAGCACTGTTAAGTCAATGTCAGGAAATTTTATTCACTCTCGATAGTTAATTTCATCACATGTTTCGGTAAAAAAAATAAAATAGCTAATGTGAAAATAATACAATCTTAAAAGTAATGTTTGTTTGCCCCCTCCCGACTCAGGGGTGGAACAATTAGGTCGGTAAGTGACTAAAAAAAACTCAGAAAATTTCAAACCTCCTCTCGATGGAATAAGAAAATTCAGAAGAAAAAAATATCGTTTCCTCAGGTAAAAAATTTTTGAGTTGCGTCATTTTAGCCGGTCGGTCGGAAGCTAGAAGGCAACCAAACACTTTCTTAAAACATGGCCTAATACATTTGTTGTATTTAATTATATATATTTAAAATGGCGAAAGCGCTTGCAGTAAATGGTTTGTGACTTTTTGGATGTTTACTTTTAAATATATTTAATATTATATCTGCAAAAAATGCGTGTTAAATTAACACTTTTATTCAACAAATTATTTACAATATTTTAATATTGGAATATTTTTAAATTATGCATGCCTTCTTGTGTAATACTAGTAATCTTTTTACATGTATCATGTCCCTTTATCTTCTCATTTTAACGATGAATCAAAGTCACGTATTTATTTTTTTCTTTCAAGTACTAACATAAATAGCAAGTCTTGTATGAAGTACTCTATATACACCAGGAAGTATCATTTCTTAATGTTGTATATATTTCAGTTCCTGGCGAACTTTTCTAGTTTACTGACAATTTTCGACATTTACTGATATTTTGAATAAAGCTGTTAGTGTAACTAATCTGCAGGATCCTGGTCGTCGTCGAATGTAAGGTATGTTCACTATTCATGTCATCTTTTCCTTTTTATGCTGGACATTAATGTGTAGGATATATACATTTTTATTGGCATTCGTTGTTACATGATAGAAACATGACTTATGTAATTGTAAATACTTGCAAATACTAGTAATTTTTTAGCTTGGACCCCTTTCACCAGGTTTTATTCTTGAAACAATATTACAATGTGCTATTTTTTGGTAAATTTAAGTCAATCCAAGTCATTCGAAACATTATTTTTACTAGTCGTCTTTTATACAAAAAGGAAGAACTAACTCTCAAACAGTTCATCGTCAGTTAACTATTTTTGACTAAAAATCAACATTTGATTAGACGGTATTTGTTTGTTCAAAGTTTCATTACATAGATATATTCTTCTCCAGTCAGAACCTGGCTGGTTTTCTTATCAGATATTGTTTAGTCAGATACAAGACAAAGAAAGTGAAATTCAACGAAAGTATGTATGCACCACGGAAGTGCTATATCCTTTTGATTTTAATTTTCATGAACGAAACTATAGAATGATAGAATCGAAATTTCTGAATGCACATGTTTTATAATTACTTATTTATTAATTAAATTTTAGGACTGAGTAAATAATCCACGTTATATACGAGGGCTGTTCAGTAAATAATGTCCTCGGTGCTCAGAAAGACGCAGACGACGCTTTTCAATGACTTAGTCTTCATGATTTTACTTATTAATCTCTTGTAATTCAAACACATGTCTGTTACATTTTTATCCAGTTTCTGATTGTTTTTAGAACTCATTTTAGGGTATGATTTTCTGACCCTTCTGAAAGGTGTTTTTTTTTTCTGGAAAATGGCAAAAGGTCCAATGATTTTTAATGTGAAAAAACATTAACTTTTTGTTTATCTCGAAAACCCCTTTACTCTACAGGGCATGCGGGTTTGGACGCTGTCATGAAAAAATTCGATGTAGTAGAATCCTGATTCTGGGTCCTTCCTCTAATAAACCTTTCCATCTCTTTGCAAAAAAAACTGCTTTCTACACTCCACCAGATATTAAACTGTCTCCCCGAATACGAATTTGAACAACAATTCCACTAATATTTAAAAAAAATTGCATATAAATCTGTCTTTGTGCTCTTGCATACCTTTGCTTTTGTCAGACCTTCGCTGTTTTTATCAAGTACATCTTATGGTAAATTTTGTTTTGATGATTTTAAGCAATAGATTCATGTTCCAATATCTGTTTGAATATAAAACAAACGTGGACAACTACAATTACTGATATTTTAAAATAATTGTTAAGACTTTCGTACACGCTGTCGTTTTCACTCATTTTTCAAAATATAGGGTGACCTTTGAGTACCAGGCTTTTTTTTTACCGTCAAACGTTTCTTAAAAACTGTGTAAATTACTCCCGATATGATGTCTATCAAATTTGCTATGTGTCTTAAAGTCAATCATGCATCATCAAATATTATTTGTTGAAATTTGGCAAACAGTACATAGGTTGTTATAATTTTTGTTGGCAAGGAGGGTACCTATTTTTGATGCCCATTATATAATTTTTTATCATTGAATTCCACCTGCTCATTTGTCTATAAAACAGGCATCGGTTGCTGTAAATGACATATTTCAGTGAATATTTCTTTGGGATTTTTAACAAGTTTTACAGCAGCTTTAATGCAGTCTTTATTTTCACTCTAGTTTACTGATTCTTTTCCATTAATTTATAATGCAGTGTCTCGAATAGCCCTTGTTTCCCAGCTTCTCACGATGAAACTATGTGATGAAAAGTGGTCACATAAACTGTGATAAATTCAGTAAAGATTCAATAATGAGAGAAAGTCAAGTTTAGTGTCATATGATATCTGTATTGTATGCCATACAGTTCAGGACATTATTTATTGAACAGCCCTCGTATGACTGATGTCTTAGGTGAGTATTATTCTAATTCTTTTAAGTTTAAAATTATATCACATAAATTTTCTCCAGAAATTATTTTCAAACTCATGTAATTTTGAGAGTGCTTATTTATTACCGGGGAAGTTGAGGGTATACTAAATTAAAATAATTATTTAAAAGTTTAAATACTTAAACAATGAAAGAAATAGATCATATAACATATCCGCTTTAGAGACGTCTTCTGAATTTATTGCCTCCAACTTTGATATTTTTCAATGAAATATTTGAACCCTTTTTCATTAAATAAACATTTTTTCTAGGATTAGATCTACATGTAAGAATGAGTGCAACTAATTTTAAGTCCTGTTTGTAGGTCTTAGAAGATGGCAAAACCAATAAAAAATTCTTGAACATGGATGCAAATCAGCAATGGGTGGTGCTTTTACGGTATGGAAACAATAATTTGAATAAATCTGATCGGGTTTCAAAATAAAAAATATTTGCAAGCTAAATTGAATATTAATATATTAAACTTGATATATTCTTGAAGAACTTTAAAATCTAAAACCTTCACGTGTCACTGACGAAAACGTTCACTCCTTTTGTACTTAGATCCATTCCGAACTTATGTAAGAGTTTACACAAATAGTTCTGTTTGCATTAAAAAAAAAACTGAAAATGATGTTGCGATAGGCCTCAACTTCCGATTTCCCCCTCAGTTTGAATCATTGTTACCTCACATATCAGGTGTTAACTCCAAGCACACCCCAAGGCGGGAAAAACTCTTAATTACTCTGGTGCCTTTTGTGACATATTGGTCCACGGTTTTTAGGTTCCTTCAGATGGCCCCAATAATTAAGACATCAGTGCCTTTCTACAATAAAATAAATCTTAGGCCATAGAATGTTTACTGTCTGGTTTTCTCTGCTTTCAGAAATGCGTAAATAAATCTGTAAGTACATCGTTTATTGAAATAATGGAATTTTTCTTTTTTATTTCATTTCTTCATATCCCTTTCAAAATTTTGTACTCGTAGCAAAAAAAACTTTGATCCTAAGTGCTTTGAACAAGTCTGTTTTCTTTCTGTACTAGTATATCTGTGGAATAACAAGAAACATACAATGTGAAATGAGTGAAAAAAGCAAGCATTTATTTTAAACTACTCCTGTCTTGAAATGTATAATCATATAGCATCTTATGATTTCTAAATATATAAATGCATACATATGCAGCAAAGTTTTTCTCAAGAAGGTTATTTTGCTAAGATTTTATGTAATGAAATTTCAATTTACTATTTATTTTAGGAATATTCTAAGGAAAAGGAAGATTTGGAGAATTCTGGTTATGTAGGTGATTTCCTTTTACTTGCTTTTTAAAAAATCATGATTTTTGTGTTTCTTTAAACTGACATATTTTATTTTTAGGTCCTAAGACGACGACTAAAGAAAAAAGAAGAAGCAATTGCACACTTTTCATCTGTTTGTGAAGCAACGGAATATATAAATCCTACTACAGACGAGGTTCTCTCTCTCTCTCTCTCTCTCTCTGGATCATTCATTGTACAAATCGTAAAAAATAGATCACATTCACTCGAGAGGGTACTTATATATTTTACAACCGAACTAAGTAGTTTTTTCCTGCCCTTTTTCAGACAACGATCAGAGTATGGCGTTCAGATTCGTCGAAAGTCAATTTCATTTCAGAACATAGCAGTGTTAATGAGGTAATGCTTTATCTTTATCTTTCGGATCAGATGAAAAGTGTTTCTGTTTATATCTGTGATTGGCCATCTATTTTCGGGGTACTTTTTTCAAACATTTTCAATGGGTGTACCTTGGACATAGATGAAATCAATTAAACTTGTTCCACATACCCTTTGGCCCGAAAAGTAAACATATAGATTTATGAACTTTCTGAGCGACCCCGTTTGACCACAGATCATTATTTTAAAAAGTAGTGCTCATACTTCTTTATGATTCCTTTGTGGTATTTTAAAACACTCTTCATTAACTGACATTCACATCAATGTATCATAAAGTGATTTCAAAATGACCTAGAAAATACACAAGCAGTTAATTTATATAAGCGTTTTTCTTTCTCATTTCAGTCTAAAATTCTGTATCATTCACAAATACATCGCTCGGTTACAGAATGGGATATGTTCATTGACATTAAAAGTGAAAAGGTAAGCTCTGTAAGGAAAAAGTATTGTATAAGAATACAAAAAAGGATACTAGTAACTTGATTAGATAAATACAATGAAATGCGGAGAAGAATCCTACAGCTACTAATCTTGTGCCCTTTTATTACTTAAAACAAAAACTTGAATACATCGTAAAACCTAACAACAAAGGATTATGATAAACGTGCTGAGTTCAACGTTTCTATCCTCAACGTCCCTTACTTATATAGCAACAACCCTTATCACCTCCATAAAGGGTTTTCTCTCCCACTTGATTCGATAGATTCGATACGCAAGAGCATACTCTAGGTAAGAGCAAATATTAAAACGAGGCATGCTATTGACAAACAAGTTATTGAAAATAATATTAACAGTTTCCTTTTAAAGTCATCATTTCAAGTTTTATGGTCGATACAATGTCAGCAAAGACGTCTTTCATTAAGTCGAATACTAACTCATGATTTTCATAGTGTTTTGCTATTATCTGCACACTGAATTGTTAACGGATTTTCCCATTTTTCTTGATTTTGAAGAGCACATGGTGGGAGTGACCGATATATAGTGGATGTTTGACGGTGCATATTGTCGTCCTGTATATATGGTCCTCTGCACAATATGTTTCAACACTCACTGCTCGTATACTGCTATATTGTTGCCGACAAGTACTGAAACTTAAACATGCACATATTGTTGTGTGTACCCTCACTGCATATATTGTCGCCTTATAGTTATTGTTGCTTAAAGATGTTTTGTAGGTGTTTAAGTGTTGTGCATTTACTTGGTGTATAAATCACACTGATGTGTCTAGTATGCTATTTAATGCAGTGCAGTTGTGATGGTACATATTTCCGTCCTGTTCATATTGTCGATACATACACCCACTGCACATATCTTCGTCCTTGACAATATTAATAAATATGACTAATCGTTGCTTTGCTGTTCTTGAAAAAAAGAGATTTTTAAAGAACTTACTTATAAATTCTTTCATTGCCTACACAATACTAGTATATCGACGACATTTTGACATTATGTGCAAATGCAATTGAGATCACACAGGTTAGTATAAACCCTCTCCCTCTAAATTACATTTCGAATTTTTCTTCAAATACTGTGTTTGCATATAATGTTTTCCGTTAAACAAAATTGTCAAAAACCAAAGTGTTATTTTCTCTTGTGTAACATCATGAATAGATTAAACAATTTCTAAACATAAACATTTTTTAACAAAACATTCCCCAAAAACATTTTTTTTAAAAGAAAACTGTTAAACAGACGTAAGTTTACAAAATGTATTAACGTATAAGTGGAATTTAATGATTTGTTCCAATAACTTGGTATGTATTTTTTTCAGCAATAAGTAATTTTAGCGATTTTGTCAAGAGAAATGGCTATAATAACTGATACGAAATACATTATGAGTGATATATTCAATTTTAGTGATCTGATAACCCTCGTCAAGAATATCAAAATTAATCCTCGGTAAAAATTCTGCTTATACGATTTTGAAATTTTGTTCGAACACAAGAGGCCTATTAACCACATGCTCACTCTTCATTGTTTCCCTCAATTTAATGCATGAATCTACCGGGTATTTAATGTAGGTAAAAAAAATATATAGAATATTGTGTTCTTCATCACACCATAAAATTAGAGGTGAGCGTTTAGAGGCAGACAGCAAACACTTGTGTGCGGGTATTATTGTCTTATGACAATATCAATTGTTTAACATACATAGAACATTGTTTAATGGATTTGACTGTCAGTATTCTAGGTTTATGTAATTTTAATGTTTAAATTTGCATGCTCTATCACAAACTATTTCAGGTTTACACTTTCTTTTAAAAAAATAATTTGATCATATACAGGAGGAAAAAGATTTTTCAAGACCGAAAAGCTGCCCAACTTATTCATCTGATATACATGTGAGCAAAGGAGCATATAGATCTTTTACTAAAAGTGACGGAGCAACACAAAATGTAAGGAACAGTACATATATGTAATAATGAATGAATATTTCATAAAAATTTATTTATAGTAATTAGAAAAGACTTGACATATATTTTCCAGGTTCAATTTCATTTAACAATGTTTGTTTGAAGAATTCCATGTTTGTTGATGTATAATTTACTTTTTTTAGAAATTATCACCGAGGCTGAATTTCTTTTTTAAAATAAAGTCAATCGTGAAGGTCAAGCTCGGAAATATTTTGTCACAGATTATGCATTTGTCAAATATGAAAGCCCTGTCTCTATTCAATCATAGGTTATAAGGAAAAATTAATAAGGATTAAATTTTATAAAGGAGGTCAAACTTCAAGGTCAATGTCGCGAGGTCAAAATTCATAGTGTATTAAGTAAGGTATTGTCACAGGCAATCAGATGTTTAATATGAGAGCCATATCTATTCTCATTCCGCATTCAGAATTCATGACCAAGGTTAAAGTTTTTGAAAAGTAGGTCAAACTTCAAGGTCAAGATCACGAGGTCAAAAATCATAGTGTTTTAGGATCGTCTTGTCAAAGGGCATGTACATTTTAATATTAAAGCCCTATTTCTTCTCATTTAAAAGTTATGGCCAGTTCAAATTAATGTTTAAATTTTTAAAAGTAGGTCAAACTTCCAGATCAAGGTCAAAAATCATAGTGTATTTAGAAAGGCATTGTCACAGTTGATATACATGTCTGATATGAAAGTCCTATCTTTTCTCATTCAGAAGATATGAGCAAGGTTAAAGTTTTTGTGACGGACAGACTGACAGGCGGACATACGGACAGACTGACAGACGAATAAGATTTAATGTCCGATCGCTTTTGCGAAATGGGGGACAAAAAGAGCCCTGCCTAGAGTAAAAACAACTCGAATGCCCTAACATCTAAAATGATGATTGTTTCTTCAAAACTTCAGGTTGACATTAAGAATCTAAAACAACAAGCGCAGAAATCAGAAATGACTGTAAGTATAAAAAATTAAGATATGTTTTCCTTGACACCTTGATAGATGGCTTTACTAATTTTAGATACCACAGAAAATGGTCATAGTCCTGTACAATTTGGGAGGAAAAATGGGTCAAACGATGAATGTATCAATATATTGTAGACTTAGCAAATTGCATTTAAACTTATGATCACATCCTCTGCATTTTGACCGATTTTAAGAGTTTTATGTGGCACCAGAACGAACAAAAAATCTTAAAACTATGTTTATCTCTGTGGCTAAACAAAATTATCTGATATGTACATGTTTATTATTTTTATCATTTATTCCAAGCTATTTGATTGGTTCAAACTTGATCACATGATTTAGTAAATAACACCATACAGACATGAGTTACTATTTATAGAATCAATCTGAAATGCATATCGATTTGATGTTTCTTAAAATGGAGATAATTTTCTGTTAATCAAAAAAATGGTATGGTTTCACAATTATATGACTTAATGTTTGTGAAATTGTACTTCATCTTGTATTAATATTATTAATGTTCTGTAATTGATGAGACGTAACAATGTTTTATATATAAAATCATATTGGATATGTTTGTCAAAAATTGATACAAAACATAATCAAATAAATGTAGTATTTTGAATACGAAAATCATCTAAATCACTCCAACGATATAAAGGAAACACAATTACTGCTTCAATTACTTACTGTATTTTGATCTCTAATCTCTAAGTGTTAAAGAGCGAATACTTGTGCCTTGTTCCCATTATTTTCAAATTCTGTTTTGTCAATTTATGTAAAAAAAAATAATAAAAACAAATGTAGCCGTAAAAGCACTTAGAAATCAAAATAAATTTAAACTGTTTAATTTAATAGTGTTTGTTTAATATTGAATTTAGAAATTTAGAAGATTAACTAATACGTAATATCGCGACTACCAATAAGTACCTCGCAGTTATCTAACTTACTACCGCTCTTTTGCAGGGGAGTCGAGGAATGTCTAAATTTCTGGGGCACATGACATTGTTTACAGTAGTGACAATCGACTGATTCCAACAATTTAATACTGAAATCACAATATTTGCCAGATATTGAACTCCAAATAGTAGATTGTCAAGTAACGAAAGTTTAGAATATTTTATATGCTTTAAAATGTGACGAATTTCAATGAAAATTTAACGAGAAGAGTACGCTTACTTAAAAATATCGTTAAAAATGTAACAATTTAGGATTGGCTCCTCTCAAAAATTTCTTAGGCTGGTTCAGCGATTGTTTAGCAAGGTATTCCACCAGGATTTTTTACTTCTCTGTCCTTATGAATGCTACTATGATCGATCTTGCATTGTATTAAATAGCACATTTGCCCCCACCCAACAGACGTTTCCTACCTCCATCGAGAAAGAGTTCCGCGAAGTCAAGTAACCGCGATATCAAGTATTCAAAATACGACATTTGTTTGATTGTTTTTATCAATTTTTGGGGAAAAAAAACATTTCCATTATGTTCTAATATGAAGTACATCTTGATTCAAGGCATTTAACGTCTTATCAATTACAGAACCTTCAGATATTAATGCAATTTGAAGTGTATATCCTTCAGAAACATCGGTCATATACTGCATTAGCTATAATTGTCAAATCAGAAATTTTTTTTTACAGAAAGATACATCAAGCCAATATGCATTTCAGATTATATAAATAGAAATTCAAGTCTATATGCTGTTATATACTCATCATGTGATCAGGTTTGAGCCAATCAGAGACATTGGAATTTATATTAAAAATCATATATAAAATATATGCCTTTAGAATTCAACATGACAGTTCGGTTTCCTAAAAATTATTTTACAATTTCCATTGCTAATTTTCTAGTGCCCCTTACCTTAGTATAGTTATCATTCCCTCTGAACTTATGGCTTTTTTGTCCACAAAAATTTCGCGGCCGCACTCCGAGTAAACAGAGAAGTATATAAATAGGATGCCTTGCGCGGCAATCTGATTGGCTGAAACAGCTCAGGACTTGACAAAATTTAGGGACGCAGTAAAACTGGATCACAAAAAGAACCAGGTTTACAAATTAAAGGTTTTGTATATAACAAAACGATAAACACATAGACATCCACAAAAATATATACATGAAATTTTTAACATAAATCGCTTTATTTGAAAATAAACCTTATTTATTTTTAAAAGGAACATAGCAGCATATATAGTACCTGTTTATTAATTTCGAAACGGGATGACAGTGCACACACATACAAATATTTGAAATGTATTCCAAAATTGTAAAGTTTGGTGCAAATAAGATATATATCCTCAAGTTTATAAACGATGGGCAAACTTCCATTACAAAAATGTTCACTAACGAATCATTGAGGAATCTCATGCAAAAATTGCTTTAAAAATTTCCAACAAGTGCAATAGAAAGGAGAAGCAGTGAAACAGTCTTAAGAATTGGTACATTTCAAACCAATGTACTATTTTACATATTTATTTTTCAAAAGGACACATCAACGACAGAAAGCAAATTCAAAGAAGGGCAGTTTAGAGGTAACAAATATATCACAATTGATTTAGATGAATATATTCTTTTAAAGTTCTATGTTGATAAGCAGGATAATTGTACAATGAATGAATTCTGTCGGAAAAATTTTCAGAAAATTAAACATAAGATAAATCTGTTATTTTACTTTTGAAAAGCTATTTTTATACTGAAATATATGCTTAGATATGAATTTAGTTTGTCGGTGAATATTCACGCACTTATGTCATATTACAAACAATATAACAAAGTATTATATCTGAATGGGGGATGACTCGGCAAAATAATACCCATTACATTTCATGATAATAATACATTTTGTAACCCAAAAATGACTAGTTAAGGGAATAAAACGCAATACGGTAACATCAAGCTTAAAAATTTGAACTTCACAATTCTATTTTATATATAATTTTGTCTTCATTTTAGCCTTGGCACACTTAGATATTTTACCACGATATAAGTATCATCGGTTCTTATTGGACTGGTTCAGCACTGGTCTTAAAGCAATTCAAAATTTCCCGATACTGAAATTCAAAGAATGTCCAATCATTGTCGGAGGAGAAATCAATGAAGAAAATCTGTCATTTCTGATTGATAAAAACATTCAAAGCAGTGAAATTCCACTTACTGAGGTGGAGAAAGGTAGTCAGTGTTTACAATCTGTAATGTTATTTATTAGATTTTGACATTAGTAAGAGTTCCAAGACATGAAGTATCACTTTAAAGTATATATTATACCCAGATTTGTATTATAAACAAATGAATATGTCTCATTTAATGAGTTGTGTGAATAAAATTACATGTAAAGCCAAAATATAAATATTTGATCAAGAAATTGTAAAATTGAGCGCTGTTCGTTTATTTTTTTTTTCTTCTAGATTCATTAGTAGGGGTTGATATTTTGGTGGTGTATTTTTTGAACAATGAGACAGAGAATATATTTCACCACTTTACGAATGTACGAGTATTTACTTTACTTCCTAAACTATTAAAATACTAATACCATTATGTGATTTAAGTTATCAGTATTTCCTTTCAATTCAGTGCAATTTTACTGTTTTTTCATGTTTACCACCATATTTTTCAAAGCAGTTTAATGTAATCGAAAATGGAAAATCAATTCGTGAATAATGACAACCATATTTTCATCTACATTTCAGTTTGCCAAAACCTTTTCCTTTCAAGGGGGTACCCTTTTATTTGTTATGGAATGTGACGACCAAGTTGATGAAAGTTTGAGATTAACTTTATTACAATCATTTTCAACTGCGAGAATGAATGTTGATTTTGTTGCAAAACGCCGTTGTGAAGTCATAACAAAAATGACGTGCATATTGGAAAAAAGAATTCTTGATGCATTGGAGGAAGCACAAAGAAATCTATATGAACTACCCCTGACGGAAAACGTTGATACAAGCTTATGGGAAGTACGGTCAATAATCAGGCGACTTAAGCAAGCAGCCTGCTACCCTCAACTCCTCCAAGAAATTGACCATTTTTATAAAAGGGGAACAGTAGATGATATGCTTCAAAGGTAATAATGCAATAAAGCACAATGATGTTGGTTTTTTGAAAAAAAAATTCTTACAAGTGATCAATATTTCAAACGTGAAATAATACAATAATAATTGTAAAAATAGTTGTATTTTGTATTTAATATATATTTTTAAAAAAAATGGTAATTTCAATCTCTACGTCATATTTATTTTTTTTTTATATCATCCTTACATAAATGAATTATTCATTAATATCTAAAGCTTTGGAGACGGAATTCTTTGGCATGGATATGACGGGGACACGTTACATATCATTACAAATGATACGAGTGTTCAAGAGAAGATTGAAATTGCTCTTTCTAAGCCAGAATTTGAACATATAAAGCATTCTATAAAAATACAAGACAAACTTTCAGTACAACTTCTAGCCAAAATTGGAGAACCATTACATGGAGCAAAGTTTGTCTACGTGAACAATGGCTTAAATGCTTTTCATCAAGATAAAAAGTTTGCAACGACAGGAAGTCTTTTGACTGCAAATGATTCTCTACTGGTAGTTGTAACATCTCGGCATGCATTTAGCAATCAAGAAAATATCTACGTTCTTATCGATGAATCGGTAGTTAGACTTGGACAAATGACCATAAATTCTCAACATACAAACGAACGTTTATGTGAAGATATAACGCTCGTTGAATTAAACCCCGATGTAGTTCCCATTGTAAATGAGCGATGTGAAAAGCTTCTCATCGACGCTACTGACCTCCCTACACCAGGAAGAATTTCTCCAAGAGAACTTAAAGTTGGTGATATAGTTCACAAGAGAGGAGCCAAAACTGGACTTACCACAGGAATCGTGAAGTCTGTTCAAATCAGCAAACTTGGCGGTTATCAAGTTGAAAGTCCTGTAATTCAAATCTGTGGAAGGGGGTCAGAACCATTTGCAGGGGAGGGTGACTCTGGATCGCTAGTTTTCCAGCATTCTCTGACTCCAGATGAAAATATTTTAGACGTTTTAGCTATGGTACAAAGTAAACTAAATGTCCCGATTCCTAATGCACCAGTTGTTTGTTTTCCGTTCACAAAAGGCTGTGAAACACTTTATAGAACTGTACCAATGTTACAATCCCTGCAGTTTATCAACGTCTGAAGATTTGGTTTGAATATGATCTTATCAGCATTTTCTGTACCTTAAATATTTCATTAATCTGCCCATCTTAGAGGATGATCCAGACATGAAAAAAATATAAGGAACTTCACAGATCATTAAGAGTAAGCCACAAAGTCCTTCTCTTTAATCAATCCTTACCAAAACATCCTTTTCAAGTAACAACAACGAACCAGCAATCATTAACAAGCCCAGGTGCAGTACATGTACATACCTGACAGAGGAATCTAAATTTCAATTCAAAACCGGAAGCGAATTTTACAATTCAAACCTCAATGTCATGCACCAGCTCTAATCTTATTTATGTGATAACATGTGCCGGTTGTGGTGAAAAATATATCGACCAGACAGGAGATACCCTGAGACATAAAATGACCGTACACCGACAACAAATTAGATCACCGTAAACGAACACATTCGAAACTGTACCAAAAATAACCCCTTCCCCAATTTTACTGTTTTTCCTTTCTACAAATTCCGAAAGGATACTAAAGAAAACCATTTTATAAACAGACATAAACCTGTTTTAAATGCAACACAATTATATTTCGTTTAAGAAATATACTAACCTAACCCTAACCCTAAAACCCGCATTATATAACTGTACTATTTATATAGAAAAACTAATTTCCTGTATTAATTAAATTACTTACATTTTATCAAGACGTCGTAATGAACTTTGCTAAAGCGCGACTAAGTTTTAGCGCTTTTTGACGTCACAGTAAGAATGTTGATTTTGTATATATGTGTTACTAAGCTTTGTATTGTCAAACTCTTGAAGATTGAAAATGAAACCGGTAGAGTTTA